AGTCTGTATTTTTTTTTCTTCTCCCCAGAGTTTTTCTTTTTCAACCGAGCTAGAATTTTCGATAATTATATATGGAATGTTTGGCTAGGTATCTACGCATATCAAATAATAGTTTCCATTTTTCTATATAAAAAAAGTAAATAATTATCATCTTAAATATATCACCATAAGGGAATTAAGCCTCAAATATACAAATTACAGTTTGGTACCTAAACTTAATAGATCTTTAGATTTATAACCTAATTTATTTTTTTCGCATATAAGTCCCCCATAATATTTATTGAACATTAAATTTTTAGTATCTAAATTTTTTGCGTATGACATTTTGGTGCCTAAACTTTTGAAGTTCTACAAATATGTCTAATTTTTGTATGTGTAATTAAAACACCCTCGAATAAATGGGTATCCATACCCAACTCATACACATTTAGATTATGGAAGTACATATTCATACCCTACGCAAACCCATCTATAAACTTTCAAACACATATATACGTCACCCATACCCTACCCATAATCAATGGGTCTATTTGGTTTTAGGTAAATATCATTAATTAGCCTAAAATTTTTAAAAAAAATTAAATTGGATGTTGACCGCTATATATCTCTTCTCAGTTAATATCATATTGTCAAGTCAATATTACTAACAAAACTGCTAACAAAAAATTAATATTAGACTAATAATACAAGAAAACACCATAACGGGTCACATAATACATGCCCATTTACAATCTCCGCTCGCGACAAGGCGCGACATCGCCACCTAGTATATGATATGTCCCATTATCGCCTTCACCCATCAATTTACAACCGATTTCGAAACACTATTGGCAGAATTCTAAGTTGTCCCCTCCACCGTTTCCCACGACCGCTACTAAATTTTTCCATTGTTAATATCGTCTTCCCAATATTTCCTCTATCACTTTTAAAAAATATCATAAATTTTGGAACAATTTCAAATCATGCTTCTATTAAACTAATCACTATAATCGCAAACAATGAACTACCCTTACACTAATCGATGAACATTTAAACTATTAATTTTTAGAAATTCATGTTCTTGGCTTCTCGCTACAGCGCAAAGTGATAGCGAACGGGCTTATACTAGTTTCTTTTTCAGTTTTCCCCTTCGCTTAACCCTATATTTGGATTACTAAGTTATAATATGACGTTCTTATATATCTTTGCTAAATAGGGCTAAAATGACATGACCATTAACTCTCAACCAACTTACTTGACCGGACTAACGAACTAAACCGGATTAACAACCTTGCTAAAATCGTATACTCAAACAACAATATTTAATAATTCTATTAATTCAATTTCCACTCATTTCAATATTTCAAGAAATTTTCATCCAAGCCAAGGTTAACTTTTTCTAAACCAAATAAATATTAGACTATTGTTTATTTTGTGCGGTTGTAAATTTGCCTACTGAAGATTTTTTTTTTTGTATTCATAATATATTTACGTATTTTAGAAACCCACAATTCAAAGAAGCCTACCATTAAAAGATTGGTCAATGGAGTTACCAAAAAAAAGGTTGGTCAATGGTGAGGGATTGGTTCTCAACCAAGTGAAAGATCTTTTAGAAGGGTTTTATGTTACGATAAAAATGTTGTTGTTTCGATCTTTATAAAAATGTTCATTCTGGCAATGTATCAGAGAATATGCTTGTATGAGGAAGGCATTATTGAATGCCAAAACAGTTGTTGGCTTCCACCCTAAGCACAATAGTGCTGATAAGCTCAAGAATTTTTATTTCTGAGATCATATTTAAGCCATCCAATCGGTCATTTTATGAATATTTAGTCTTAATCAATTTGTCGAGTGGGATTTCATTAGACAATGAGTTGTTAGATGGAAGAGCACGCACGTTAAATTGCCAAGATTGTGTCTAGTCAGTTCTACCATCTCAGTATCTTCGGTCTGAAATTATGTTTGACAACTAGGGGTGTAAGTTAAGGGAAAAATTGGTGGGATGTAAGTGGAGAAGAAAATTTTTGCTTGGAATGAAAAAATAAAGCGTGCAAATGGGATGAAAAATAAATAAATAATATTATAAAATATATGTACTAAATTTGTGAATTTATATTATTACAGGATAGATGTATTAAATTTATAAAATATAATAAAAATAAAAAAATTTGCATAATAATTATAAATATTAAAAAATATCATTTGATAAAAATATGTTCTAAATCAGTTGATTAATGACACCAATAGCTCAAAAATAACCACCCATCCACCCAAAATTGCCGCTAAAACGAAGATGGACCGTCGTTTTGCCCTTTGGTCGACAATTTTTGGGCTCTGGTAGTAAACCTCCACCACTCTTTCTCATCTTAGTTCCCCACAGCCGCATCTTGTGAAACTCATTTTCCGGACTGCTTCAAAATCTCTCTCAATCCTCCACCAAAACTCCACCATATCACCATCATTCACTTTCTCAACCTCTATCCATCTTCCTCGAGCATCCCCTTACTAGAAATCTCGCTTATCCTACCATTTCAACCCTTGGCACCCAACTCATCCTTTGGGCCATCACCTTCAATTCCATCTTGTTCTTTGATTTTTGCTTCTATTTTCACTAACCATACCATTCTTTTACCCCACTCTCTCATTTTAGAACATCTGTGTTCAGCTGTTATCAGGGGCGGAGCTAGGTGGGCCTTCGGGGGGCCCCGGCCCCCCCGAGAATTTTGAAATCACGTACAAAATTTATCGAACTTAGGGTAAATTACGTATAAAAGGAAGGTTATTTAATAAATATGTCGCGTACAATTACAGAACATGGATCTGAAGGCAGTCTAGCGGAAATGGAACTGCATGTTTCTCTAATTAACCTGGGTTCGAGCCTGGAGGAAGGTAAAATTTTACGTTTTTAAACTTGTATAGCTTTAATGTTTTTTTTTTTTTTTTTACAATAAGCTTTAATGGTTTTTAAACTTGTATAGCTTTAATGTTTTTTTTTTTTACAATAAGCTTTAATGTGATGTAACCGAAGGCAATAACTTTCATAGTTTGTAATTACATGTCAAGTGCTTTGAAAGTAGTTCAAGTAACTTGTTCAACTTTTAAATTCTTATTTTTAAAGAATTTCTTAGTTATATATTAATCATTGCATTTTATCATATAACTTTCTTAATTTGTGTTTATAAGTCATGTGACTTCAAAATAGATCAAGTAACTTCATCTAAATTCTTATTTCTAATAAATATTTTATTTATATATTGGTTATTTCATTCTTTTCAAACAATAATACTTGTGAACATTCATTTTTCAGTTATAAAAATACAGAGAAACATACTAGACGGTAATATGCATGATTAATCTTTTGCTCATAGTTTTCCTTGTGTCATTGTAATAATAGAAAATAAATTAGTAATTTTTCTTATAATAATTTTTTGTTTGTTTTTTTTTAGTTATACGCTAAATAGCTCCGGCCCCCCCGATCGTCAAATCCTGGCTCCGCCCCTGGCTGTTATTTGTTGGGTCTACATCTATTCTCCTATGGGTTTATATTAATTCCAAATATGTTAGTTACTATTCATTAACGGAGTTCAAACTCCTCCAAATGCAAGTGGCAAATCTTTATGTGAGTTGTTTTCCTTCACTCGCATATCCTTCTCCTAAGCTTCTCAAATTTGGAAGACCTTCTTTTACCCCACTCACCCATTCAAGAACCTCTGTGTTCAGCTATTATCCGGTGGGTCTACATCTATTCTCCTCTAGGTTTCCCATCGCATATATTGTCGACTAGGTTTTCAACTATTATTCACTAATTTCTCCGGGATAACTATTATCCACTGAGTTTTCATCTATTGAGTGGTGATTTGCCAACCAATTCGCCATCCAACTTGAAAAACTGTAGGAGAAATCCAAAATTTTCACCCTCCACCATTTGTCACAACTGCTACTGAAAATCCATACCATATTACCACATTAGATGCTCACTTGGGAGTTACATGTAACCCTCATTCCTACATTTGATAGCTCATTTATGTTTCGTTATCTCTCATTGATATAAAGATGTAGTGGTTACCAAAGTGTGCCTATAAATATAGCACACCATTGTATCAAAAGAGATAGAATGAATAAGAAGAACTATTTCTCTCTCTTCTCTTGTATCTTTCACTCTCTAATCTTCTCTTGCAGTTGTTTATATTTTTTATTAGTTTCATAACATGTTATCAGCACGAAACTCTGCCAAAATTATCATTGCTAAGATCACAATATCTAAGATATTGAGTAAGATCACAATATGATCAAGGTATGTAAATCTTATATCCTTTCTTATCTTATTGTCTTATTTGTGTTGACATTATCTCATTCCAATATATCAAGATGGGTGCTACTCTTTTCTCGTATCCATTGATATTTTATCACGTCGATCTATTTGGATTAACAAGAAAAGTAATATAAAGTGATGAGTTAATTTCTCAGTTCTCAGTGTTATCCTATTCTTATCCATCATACATTGATATGTGGAAAATGCAAGTTCCAAGAGCCCATATATTCTTCAAAAGTAGAAATTGAAGAATCCAAGGGCAAAGAAAGAAGTGGACATGGTAACCAAAATATTGGTTTTGTATGTTACCATTGTAATGGAAACACTACAAGAAAAATAACCTTTAGCGGCAAATATTTGCGGCACATAAAATAATTGCCTTCTAAAATATGTTATAGGCGACTATATGTTTTTTTGTCTCTAAAAGTAAACTTATTTGCCTCTAAAACCATTATTGTTTTATATTTAGTATTAATTCCAAAAAGATATCACATATAGCGGCACATTTGTTGTGAGTGTCATGTAAAGTTTTGTCCTCTCATCCATGAACAAGTGAATTTCGGATTATATTCATATTTTTAACTTTTGAAGGCAGAAAATTATGTGCCACTATATAAATATTTTTAGAGGCTAAAATAATGGTTGCTATTACTTGTTAAAAATCTTAAGCTTAAAGGGTGCGAGATGCAGTGAGGAAATTAGGGTTTCCTCAACACATGCAATAAACCCCGCTGTCGCCACCAATGTAAAAATCTCTTCTTTCTATTCCGATCATGTTTAAACTTTAAAGGCCACTTCGGCACTTCTCACTGAAAAATCGCTAGACCCCACGTTAGCTATTGGATGTGATGATGGGGTTTCTACCCAAATCGTCCCGTGAAGAATATGAAATAGCAGAGGAGCAGTACAATGAAATTCCACAGGCAACTTCTCTCCCTGGCTCTTCCGATCCCGACTTAGCCAAGAAGGGCAAAGGTAAACATACGTACATAGATCTCCTCTCCTTCCTCTTTGTATGCTGAGGCGTCGATCGGCACTTGGTCTGATTCCTCCTTGTTTGTTGTTTTGCTCATGGTTTATCTCTCCAACCAGAAGAATTTCATCTGTACTTTCACTAAATGTAGACTGGTCAGTTCTTTTTATCCCTTCCCCCCTCTTGATCTATTCGACTTTTTATGATTTACAAAGCTCTGCGATTGGATCTGAGATTTTCCAGATTCCTTTCGATTTTGACTACTCTGACATATGCTTAGTGGTAATCTGTGGATTGGGTAAAAGGGTTTCTCTGTGCTGATTAATTTTTTGCATTTTAGACTCCATCACACCTCTGTTTTGCAATCTTAACAGCTACTATTGGATGCCTCTATCAATGTTGCATGCTTCTATGTTTGTTTTTTCCCCATTGATTGAAGAGACTAGTTTGAAGACATCCCCAATTCCCCCTATAAACTATCATCATTATGTTTTACATTATGCTTATAAGAAATACTCAACTTTTTTTTATTTGCAGGTAATACCACCAAGGGGATGAATGATCTTTATACTTTTGTGCTACAGAATTGATACAATATTATAAGAACATATCTTATCTCACAAATGAGTTTGGAAGATGTAAGAGGATGGCTTTGAACTGAAGCATTAGGGTCTCGGAGGAATTTCATCAACTATCAACATAATGAATTTCAAGACTACAAGCTAATTCGAAATTGTAAAGCAAGGACAAATTGCACTTTTTATCTTGGATCTCATTGTTTTGAAATTATGTAATTTGTTTCATTGCTACGAGTAAATTTTTTGTATTAAAGTTCAATTAAAATAAATTAATAGATCTGGGTATTTTGTTCATACATTTTACAGAATTTGATTTTATATCCTCAAGAGAATGAGTTCGCTAATTGGAGGCAATTAATCTGCCTCCAAAAATAAAATGAATAATTCGGTAAAGTCATAAAGATAAAATTAGTGACAAAAAATTACCATTAGAGGTACATAATTTGTTGCTATAAATTAATTTAGAGGCTAATACAATTGTCTCCAAAAAGTATTATAGAAGCATAAATATATGCCCCTAAAGGTAATATTAGTGACAAATATTTGTGCTGCTAAAGTGAGAAAAGGAGACAATAAAACACTAAATCAAAAGTGAAATTGGCAACAAAATTATCTATCGGGAATTCCTAAATTAGAGGTAGATAATATTTGCCGCTAACATATGTCGCTAAAGAGATTTAGCGGCAGCAGTATTGACAGCACACAATTATGTGCCGCTATAGAGCTATAGTGACACTTAAATCACTTACCGTGGCATATACACTTAGTCGCTAATTGTCATTTTTCTTGTAGTGAAAAGTGCGTTTTTCTCGTACCCGTTGTACGCAAAAGACTTTATTCTACCAAGAATCAAAGAGAAGAGCAAATTCAAATATGCTCATGCAATATCAATATTATGGAATATATTTTTGTAATATAAGTTGGTATATTCTCCATTAAAGATGAAAATGATATCACTTGAGAAATTTTCATTTCCAGAAGTGAATGAAATAATTTATCTCCGAAGTGAATGGAGCTATAAACATAATTATATATATGTTAAATGTATTTTTTGGATATTTTCACCAGAAGTGAGAAAAGAGAAGAAAAAGGAGAATTATAAATAAGTATGACACAACAATTATATTATCAAAGTCATGATAACATAAGGTACCTATTGTACATTGAAATGTATAATGAAAGGCATATATCTTTATTTTTATCAATGTTGAAGGCATATATAAATTTAAAATCACCTAGTTAGTGATGGTATTGTTCCAAATAAATCTTATTTATTTTTCACAATTGTGGTATTATGATTCTTATTTCTTTTATGTTTTATTGTGACGTTATTTTTCATGCATAATTTAATTTGATAACATTTATCTAGAACAATTAACTTGATAAGTTCATCATTTTTGTCTTAAGTTTGAAATATTCTCATTTATTATTTTAGTATGTTTTTGTAAAGTATGATTGTTAGAAAAATTACATATAAACTATATGGTAGAGTACATAAATGAGAAAAAGCTTCCGAAGAGCTATGTTTGGTTACTTGAAGTAACTAAATTATGTACTTGTGATAACAATTTGTGATGATATTCACTATGAATTTGTGTTTACTAAGAATGCATCAAATCATAAGTCCCCGGAAGGGTGGAATATGGTACAAAATATGATAAAGCTTTAAAGGGAGCTAATTTTGTGGCCTGAAGGAACCAAACTACCTAGTGATGATGCATTACCCAATTAAAAGGATATTCATAAAATGAATATCTTATCAAGAAAATAGTGAAACTAATATTTGCATCACAAATATGTACTAGATGTATATTAGTACAATCAGTACACATAAAAGTGTAAACCAGAAGTTTACAAGATTTGATAACATGATAATTTGTTGGTCCGGTTAGACCATCCCGCATCTTGATGTGAAAAAAAGTTCTTTGAGAATTCATGAGAACATCATATGAGAAGTCAAAGAACTCTTCAAATAAAAGAGTTATTATGTCATGTTTGTTCTCAAGGAGAATAGAACAATTGATCATCGCTTGTATAAGAGTTGACAAATCTCTTGAGATTTTATGGACGTGTATGCAGAACAATACATCAGCCATGTGGATCATTTGTGAATTTTATGGGTTGCTGCATCAAATGTATTTTATCTAATCGCAACCCGATGTTTGCGAGATTGGTTGTCTCACTATGGATACATTTTGATGGTTATCCAATCTAACATCACTTTGCTTAATAGAACAAGTCGAGCCTTCTGGTCTCTTGTCGAGGACATGCTAGCTGACAAGTGATAGTATTGGTTCACATCTAACCAACAAGTTATCATAAGTTCCCCCCTTTTACAAATGTTTTTTGTAAGAAACCTAACATTTCTCATATGAGAATACCAGGGTGTGCCGCATACATCCCAATTGCTCCACCACAGTATCTTAAGTTGATTCTCGTTGGAAATTGAGAATTTGTGTTGGGTATGAATCCCGAATGGAAAATTTGTTTGCGAAATTATTGTTTTGATGGATTACTTTTTCAACATTAAGGGGGAGAGAAAAAAAAACAACTAGACAAAAAGATGAGTTGGAATGAGTTATCATTATATCTAGTTTTGATCCTCAAATTAAGAAACATGAACCTGAAGTTCATAAGATGAATTATCATTACCAACTATCAAATGCCTTTACTGGCCATACGAAGTGACCAAGTCACATATACTAGCTGTGAATGCTCCAACTAAATTTGATATCTTTGTTGGATACTCTAATATAAAAAAATGTGTATGAAAGAGCGCATGAAGCGTGATAGACCAATCGGTTCCAATTATAAACATCCTCGAGAAAGAAAAGGAGTTGTAATTAGAATGGTCAACTCGAGGACATGAAAACTCAAGAAGAGTAACCAAGAATAAAATATAATTTTAGTTCCAGAAGAACACATGTCTCTGAAAGTTGTGAAAGCGAAGAGATCTAAAAACCAAATTAGACTACAATACTGGAACCATAATGAAATCATTGTCGATGAAATTTGTTTGTTGTACTTCAGTACTGAATATGATATGTACAATGTGAGGATATAGAGTAAAACTCTATTGATGCATGCAAATGATGATGTTGTTGGCCAATATAGAAAGAAATCATGAAACTTGCTTAAGGAGCATAAAGTTTAAGGACCAGAAGTCCTTGCACCTAAAAAAGGGCAAAACTAGCGGGATACAAACAAATTTTTGTGCTATTGGAAAGTATGAAATTATGAGAGATATCACATAATGTTTTGCTATGGGTTTCTCGAAGAGACCTATCATTGTTTAAGAGGAGTTATACTCCCCTGTGGTGGATGCAACTACTTTTTCAAATCAATGTTTGAAAATTGTTGTAATAGCCTATTTGTTTGAAAGATGTTATATATATTTGAAACTCCAAGAAGGATTAGTTACTCCTAGAAGGATTAATTTACCTGAAGTAAACAAGTAAAGTTCTCGAGAACATATATCGATAGACTAAGAAAATCTCTTGTGTGGGTTGAGAAAGTATAGACGAATGTGAAATACTCGTCTAAGTGAACACCTACAACAGTAGGGTGAATGAACCTTAAAAGGTTAAATCCGGATAGAGTCATTAGAGCATTTGCATTGTGCATATATAGTTGTGTTGTCTGTATGTGCTTCAAGGATTTTAAATTCTTGATTTATGAGTTGTGATTTACTTTAAAGTATGAGTTGTGTTTTATGAGTGTGCTTTGTCTAGTTCATATGTTTCTATGATGTGTGTTTTGTTAATATCTTTCGTGATATGAAAGAATTGTTTGCTTCAATTTGTTTTAGTCAAGTTTTTTTGTGACGATCTCATATTATGTTGATGATATGTCTATTATTGGAGCTCCTGAAGAGCTTCCTAAAGCAGTTGATTGCTTAGAGACATAAGTTAAATTGAAGGATTTAAGATTCTTTTTATGGGAAAGGAAGGTAATGTTGAAAAAGTGGAAAAGTAATTTTGCATGAACAAATTATGTTCATCAAATAACATTAAGATCCTAAGATCACTAGAAGTGACCAAAGATCCATTTAGGCATCAAGAAAGAAGTGAGACATTAGGTCCTGAAGTACTTTATGTTGATGTACTAAGTCCTGAAGTACCATATGTTGATGCATCAAAGCACCAATTCACATTGCTAGCCAAACACCATATAAACTATCATTTTGGTGTTGATAATATTAGCAAAATACAATGTTTCCCTCAATGGAACCTTGGAAATACTTTGTTACCTTCACGAACAATATATGCGATTGTTCTATTATGGTAATATCAAAGAGAGATTTGGTGAACTATATATCCAAATCATATATATTATTTGATCCTCATATTGGTTGATCAGAGATGAGCTATCTCTTACATATGGCGATGTGATTGTTTCATAGATATCCACAACAAACTATAGTAGGCAAGTCCTGAATGTATTTCGTTATACTTTGTGATTCACCATATCTAACGGACTTGTGGTTGTAAACTATTTCTAAAGGAAATGATCCTGACGATCATGTATAAAGAAAATCTAAAGATCATGCATAAGATTGACAATCTAGAAGATTGTTCACTAACTAACTCCCGACAACAATCTTTCTAAACGTTGTTTGTGAAATTTGAGTTCAACGACTCAAAGATTTGAAATGATGTGGTCATGAGGGAGAGCATATACGCACTGCACTCTTTTTCCCTTCACCATGGTTTTTCCCACTGGGTTTTCCTGGTAAGGTTTTTAACGAGGCAGTATGAGATAGCGTAATGCAATCTAGTGGTCATCCAAGGGGGAGTATTATGTAAATATTGATATATGGATGACCATTGCCATTACCACATTAGATGCTCACTTGGGAGTTACATGTAACCCCCATTCCTACATTTGATAGCTCCTTTATGTTTCATTATCTCTCATTGATATAAAGATGTATTGGTTACCAAGGTGTGCCTATAAATAAAGCACACCATTGTATCAAAAGAGATAGAATGAATAAGAAGACCTATTTCCCTCTCTTCTCTTGTATCTTTCACTCTCTAATCTTCTCTTGTAGTTGTTTATATTTTCCATTAGTTTTATAACAATATATATATATATGGGGAGTTCTACGGTACCCAGGGTGAAATCCGGGGTACCGCATACCTTGAGTAAGAAAACAATAATCGACGGTTATGATTTGTCCAAATTTAGGCAAAAAATCAATGCACCATCTTAGGGTTTATAGTTTATGATTTAGAT